GTTGTTCACATTTTAAGTTGAATGAAAGACGTGAAGAAAGCGTGCTGGAGGACATAGATCTTCGTGAATATTTCTCGCTTTATTTGCTTATCTACAACATGGGAACTTATGCCAAGTGATTTGGGATAACTTCTTAACGGGAAGATTCGAGATAATTGCCGACCTGAACATGTACAAGTCAAAAACAGCGAGGGTTGAAGCACTGTTTACAGTTTACCGTTCCTGTGGCTGACGAAGGCCGGAAAATTAATTGAGCTGAAATAAAAGTGAGCTCAGAGCCGGTCAAGTTCACTGAAGAGATGGATAAAAGACTGTTAAAAGCTACATCGAAAGGAAGAAAGAGATCGATCTTCGCTGATAATTCATATAATGTATATGTGATTTGTCAGTAGTGTGCTTATAACGAAACTGCTGTGTTTGTCTCCCATATTATTGGGCTAGTTTGAAAGCCGCAGAATTTAGACCAAATACCTGCGAAATCCCCGTGACGTAGCTCCGTGAAGGTGATTTCTAAGAATTGCAGTTCTCCATGTAACTTAAAACTAAGTATAACAGTAATTAGCAATTCAACACTTGACTCTCAACTAGATCTATCAAATAAACCACGAGACACGCTGTCTAACTGCATTATTATTATTATTATTATTATTAAATAAATTAAAAAAAATTCAACACTTGAATCTCAACCAAATCTATCAAATAAACCAAGAGACACGCTGTCTAACTGCATTCACAGGAAACCACAATTTTCAGAAGCGGATTGGTTGTATGTTTACGTGTGAAGAAGGACCATTCTGTTCCTCTGGCCTGCCCCCTACGGGCGATCCCTGCCCCGAAATGGCAGACGTTTGTTGTCAAATGGTGAGTTGAATATTTAGGTTCCCAGATCTCTTGCGGAGGACGCCGTAGCGATATGGAAACGAGAATACTGAATATTAATATTAGAAATTAATGAATACTCTCCGTGTCACAACATAATGAAGGAGTGAAACTTAATTAGTTTTTCTGATTCTCTTCTTTTATTTTGTCTCTGCAGTGAGAAGCCGTCTCAAATGATTTGCAGTTTTCTTTGTTAGTACTATGAAAGAGGAAATGGGATGACTTGAATTAAACCTGTGAAAACTGCTGTCTAAGGCTAGTTGCTTCTCTGTCTCGTTCGATCGCTCTGCCTCTTTTACGACATTTTGTTCTCCTTGAAGGCGCCTACATACCAAAGTACCGCAGTTAGGAAAGTAATATCATGGGTGACAAATTACTCCTTAATTTTGGCGCGAAATTTTAGCGCTAATTTATAATTTCACATGTATAATTATAAAATTGCCATGGCAACGTTTCCCATGTCTCAGGGTCATGATGACGTACAGGATTTTAAAAGATGATCTTATAGGTTAAACTTTGCACATTTTCGCTTGAATTTCACCTTAGCCATTTTGTTTGGTCGTTTTATAAACTTTTAGCGATGACATGAATGGCATTGAGCAGATTTTTGAGCGTTTTACACGGGCGTCGTTACTAGCCGGTTCGTTCATGACGATACAATGAACAAGTTACGAAACTACGACTGTAAGCGTAATTTGTCGCCCATAATATTAAAAGGTATCCAAATGGTATACTCGTGAAATTAGAAAATAATTTCAGACTTGCGTTTTGTCAATTCTAATAATTTTGACAAAACGCGCGTGAAATTATTTCCTAATTTCACTCGTCACCTATGCTAATTTCCTGAAATATCGAGCAACCCTGCGGAACAAGCGATA